CCCCAAAACCCCAAAACCCCAAAACCCCAAAACCCCAAAACCCCAAAACCCCAACAATCCTGAATACTATTGAAACTTGGTATTGGATAATCTGGTTGGAGAGAAATCAGAATCTTAACAAAATTATTCTAAATTATCCGGTTTTGAAGACCATGAAGAAGATATACCCGCTCTGCTCTCCTACTGTCTTCCAGTTTTCATTTCTGAAAGCTTGCCAAACGCTCAGGGCTGCAGCAGAGATAGCTGGTCCGTTCCTAGCAGCGTTGATAACAATATCAATTGGAGAGTTAAAGGTGTTGTACATATTTGTGGCAATTCTCACCACGTCATTTGTTCCGTCATAACACCAGAGGTAAAGAGGCTTAAGTCTCTCGAAGATGTCTGCGACCTCGAAGACTCCAGCTCTGAATCCAGCATCAGTTCTTCTAGAAAATTCTCTATTGGCATCTTCAATGGAAGCAACTAAAAATTCTGTTTCGTTGACGCAATTTCTAATGTTTTCTGAATCGAAAACTCTAGATCCTGTAATAAACCCTTTCATAAAATCTTCAAGTGGTCTGAGGCTAGGAAGAGAGGCTTCCAATTCAGCAACATTCTGAGTGTTAAGTCTTGGGTTAAATTTAAATAAGAGCTTTAAGCCTCTGCCAGCTTGGAATGCAACTTCTTTTGGTCTATTATTTTGAATGGCTGATACCAGAGCAGATGAGATTGTGTACCACTCCCAGGCGTTGGTAATAATACCACCTCTCACTTGGCTAGCGAAGTCAATGAATCCATCAAAGTTACCAAAGAAGGAGTTGATTTGCTCTCTTGCACCTACAGTGACGTCAAAGCAGGTTCTGGTAATTGGAGTTACATGTCCCATTGATCCAAGTAAATCAAGATGGTTTTCCCAAGTCCATCCTCTATGGATTAAATGGTTGATAGCTTCATAGACATCAGCATATCCTCTTTCAGTCTTATGAACACACTCAGTTGAGTTAGCAACCAAAGAGTTTACTTCAAACCCGTCTAAGAAAGAGTCAAAGAGCTCTATAAATGTTAGTCCTGACTTGAAAGAGTTTTCAAGTCCAAAGAGTCTAGCTTTTTGAGTCTTTTTGGCTTTAACTACAGAGAATGTAGAAGTAAGCAGTACGATAGCCAAGAGGGCTACTATTACGTTCTTCATCTTTATTTATAATATTAAGCTTTAAAAATATTTCTTAAATACTATTCTTCTATTTTAAACTCATGTTTGGGGTTTTGGGGTTTTGGGGTTTTGGGGTTTTGGGGTTTTGGGGTTTTGGGG